GACTGGCCTAGGGTCTGCTCTGTTGTACGCAGCTCTCTGTGGAGTCAGAACTTGACAGCCCCCAACATTGCTTCACTGGTGAATTCCAACCAACATTTAAGGCAGAAGTAACACCAGTGTTCAACAAATTACAGAAGACAGAACACTTCTCAGCTCATGTCTAAACACACCAACCAGTTCCTCAATATAAAAATCATGCTTGAAGAGCAAAGTCATTTTTATAAACATATCAAGATTTTTATTTTGCAGTATACTCAAAATTCAAGAAAAAAAATATTTGTTCCCTTTAATGGTGGTAAATACCTGTGACAAATTGCCATTTCCCATTAATTGTGCTTTTGGCGAAAGTTTACATAGCAAATGAGTTTTCTAATCAATAGTTCATACACAGACTGTTCCAGCAAATCTGATGCAATCCCTGCAGTGTGCCAGAATCTCCACTGCCCCCTGGGTTCCCCATATCCATGTGTCCAGTTTTCCTGTCCCTCCCTGTCTTTCCTTTGGTTTGGGGCAAATGTTGCCCCTTTGTCTTGTATAGTTGATTGTACTAAGAAGCACATTCTTCATAGATGTTAGTGTCTTACAGTCCCATCTTATTACTTAGTGGAAATACGGCTTCCAGGAGCGTCTCCAGTTTCACGCTGTTGGTGTCGAGTTGGTTCCGGCTCCTATTAACCCTGTATAGGGTGTCCAAGGAGTGGTTGGGGAGGTTGAACCACTGACCTTGACATTCACACTGACCTTGAGGTCAAGTGTTTATCCTACAACGCTATAACAGGACTTTGAGTTTCAGATTAAAAGGCCAACATTCTCAACATCTGCAATTCAGCGACATTAGTCACACTTATTGTATTACTCAACCATTACCATTTCCAAAATTTCCTCTCACCTTTAACAAAAACTCAGTATCCTGAAGCACTGAGCTCCTCTTTGTACTTCCTTCCCATCCCTGATACCACTAATAAACAATGTTGGTCTTTACATACTCGCCTGTCCTAGACATTTTACGTAAGTAAAATCGACTGGTTTCTTTCCGTATGTTAAAATACAAGGTTTGACAAGGCCAACTATAACTGAGGACAAAAACCTTAATGTTCAGACCATGCATTGTTACAGGGAGATACAATTTACATACCAAATGGTCTTTACAAATATAGATCTTCTTGCAGTGATGTGATGGCAGTACGCGGCTCTTTAAAATAATAATAAGCCTTGTTGTCAAATGGCTGGTCTGCAGGGAAGGAAAACTTAATTTAACTTCTACAAGTCTAAAATCCTGGTGTGGTGCGGCACAACAATGCACTAGGCCTCACCACGAGGCAGAATCGACTTGGTGGCAGCGGGTGGATTCCAAAATCTCAGCATGCAATATTTCTGAACTACTTGATTCATATTAGATTGTTCTGACATTATTTCCAGACACCTCATTAAATGTTAACATGATAAAAAAAATTATATATATTTTAATGAAAAGAGGCCATGAACTCTCACCATACAACTAGCTCTTGAGTTATATATGATTTCCCTAAAGTAGGTAACCCAGTTAAAGCAGATGATGTGTTGGTATTTTATTCATAGAGTAGTACTTCCAGAAATGATCAGATATTTTCACACACCGGAATATAAATGTCATGTATGTAAGACACAGACACAGAGAACACTACAGTGAAGACTTGTACTGAAAACCGTCTTTGCCCTTTCTCAGACCATATTCCCCCTTTCTACCAAGAAGTAATGACGAATCTCAATTTTGTTTGGCACACCCTTACTTTTTTCAACTATGCTACGTTTGTTGTTGTTGTGTGCCATCGAGTCGGTTCCAACCCATAGCGACCCTGTACAGGGTTTCCGAGGCTGTAAATCTTTACGGGAGCAGAAAGCCTCATCTTTCTCCGTGGGGCAGCTGGTAGTTTCGAACTGCTGACCTTAAGGTTCGCAGCCCGATTCATAATCACTAGGCTACCAGAGCTCCCTCTTACATATCTATAATTGTTTACCTTTTGTATCATTTTAGCTGTATTCAACAGCTTTATCTGTCTGTATCTCATGATGCCATTTCTGTCAACAGAGTGTTTGTGAGATTCCGCACACTGATGCCCATAGCACCAGGCCATTTGTCCTCCCTACTGTGTGCGCTGTCAGGTTGGTTCTGACTTAGAGCCACCTGATAGGCCACGGAAGAACCACCACGCAGTTTCCTAGATTGTGAACTTTCAGGAACAGACTACCAGATCGTTTACCCCTGAACCGAGAATGTAGGATTCGAACTGCCGACCTTTTGGCTAGCAACAGTGCTTAACCAACACCCCACACCATGATTCCTTCACCAACACTAACGTGTCCCATTAACGAATGTGGTTTGTGCTTTTGCATATATAAAATAGTTAGCTACCCTTTCTTATCAATGGAACTATTCTTTCTCATATTAAAAAAAAAAAATTAAGGTAATATTGGACAATATTCTTGAGTCAAAAAGAATTGTTTTTAAAAGCCAAAAAGAATGGAGAAACACATTAAAAAGACACAGAAGCCAACTTGAATTGACTTGTACTGGTCAAATCTGGGGATATTTGAGTTCATAAATTAAAAATCAGTATTTTTATTTCAAAAATAAGCAAAGAGCTTATCTGCCATCTTCACGGGTCAGAGTCCTTAGGTTTCCACTAGCTGGCTGCCAGCCTCTCCCACAGTCCCCAGCAGCTGGTCTGCGAGAGAGCCTGGCACCTACTGATCTATTCCAAAGCTGCGCTCAGCCAACTGCCTGCCAGGCACAGCGAAGGCCAACACTTGCGCTCTGAGCGCACCAGCTGCACTCAGGGTCCGCCGGGCCCACCACCCTTCACACGAGGACCACAGAGCTACTAGTTCTGCACTCAGCTCCCCAAGCGTGGAGGGAGGAGCCTCACAGTCCAGTGCTTATCATATGGAGTCATCCCCTACAGTAGACTGCTGTTAAATTACCAACCGAGTCGGTTCTGAGGAACAGCTGGTGGGTCTGAACCACCACCTTGCAGCTCAAACTGACGTTGCGGTCCAGTGCATTATCCTGCAGCGCCACACCAGGACTCCAGGATTACAGTAGAAAATCACATATTAACTACAAAGAGGGAAAATAGTCAATCTTGATCATGCAGCCAGCACAGTAAAAATGGATTCAGGAAACAATGGTTGCTATAACGAATGAAAGGAAAAGTTGAGTGAAATCAAGATGAGGTACAGGATACTGAAATAGTCTCAGACTACCTCTCCACAAATAGGGAAATAGTAATTTTATAGCAGAGAAAACCACCCACACAACATCGAAACTGGCCAGCATCATACAACCAATAACAAGACAAACCAACAAGATGCACCACACTAAGAAAACAGTATTACATGTGTAGCGAGTATCCCCACCCCAAACACACTGTCACTCATGAGGAAGCCTAAGACAAATACAAATGGAAATGTATTTTACAAAAGCAAAGGCTTTTACTCTTCAAATAAGGCAAGGTCACATGGAAGACAAAGACTGAGGAACTGTTATAGATTTCGCGAGACTGGAGAGATAGGATAAGTATTAGCAACGCATGGTTTTGGATCCTGGTTCTGATTTTTGTTTTAGCTATGAAGGATGTAACTGAGATAATGAATTCTGAATAAATTCTATAAATTAGGTAACAGTACTGAATCAACATTCCTGATTATGTCACAGAATGTTCTTGTAATTAGTAAACATACACTGAAGTAAAGAGGGCAAACGTAGTTGTTTCATGTCTGAAACTCGCTCTCAGTGGTTCTGGGAAGAAAAATAATGTTAAGTGCTATCGAATCAGTTCTGACTCATATCAACCTCGTATGGTGTTTCCGAGGAGCAGCTGGTGGGTTTGAACCGCCGACCTTGTAGTTAGCAGTCCAGTGCTGATCCTACAGCGCCACACCAGGACATGCAGAATATAATAAAGCAAATGAGGAAAATGTGAACAATTGAGGAATCTGGATTAAAAGTATATATAGAAGTTCTTTGCATTATTTTTGCATCATTTCTATAATTTTGAAGTTTTTTTAAACATGTTATTTATTTTACACCCATAAATAGGTTATACTTACATACAAAGATTTTAAAAACCGTACCATTTCTGTATGAGGGCATGCTCAAGAACAAAACCCCTAAGTACAGCAGAAACGGTTTGGATAACTCAGCCGTTTGTGCTGATCATTTAATTTGGTCAGACTTTAAACGTGTTATATTCCACAGTAGAACTGTCTCCTCTTCATCTTCAAAACATGTTAGAATATTTTGTCAGTACAGTATAAAAAACACACACACATGATTTCCTTTATAAAACTATTTTTAGAAAACATTTCTCCCCAATTCATTGACCTAATTTTCCAAACGTTAAGTCTCTCATCAACAAGGTGCAGTCACCCCTACCTTTGTTATCTTCTCATATGCATTATCTGTTAAAACATTAGTCACAATTTTAAAAATTATTTTCAAGTATTTTATGGCAACCAAAAAGTTTTTCCTTAGTGTAAAATTTCTAATACTCTATGGTATGTGATTTTCAATAAAACTTTTTCTCCATTTAGCACTCTTCTATGATTTCACTCTAAATCCTCTAAAGCACGAGCGATTTCTCAATAAAAATATTCCAACAGTCATTTCTGGCAGATAGTTCCTTCCCATGTACATTTCTCTGATATAAAATAAAACACACTTCTAGGGAACTTTTCACCAAATTACAATAGTAGCCTGCCGTGTAATGAGTGAGCTTTGACTTCTGCGTAAAACCATGCACACGTTTGGTGTACTCCCAGGATGTGGTGTCTCTTGTGTCCACACTTTCCTGAACAATGAGCTACAACATACGAATGAAGAAGGTTTCCCCGTATAAGCTGCATTACAGATGGCTCTGGTTTTGATTTAAAAGTGAACATCTGGGTAAAGGTTTTTATGCGTTCGGTGTGTCTGCAGGATTTCTCTCAGGTGCCTGTGTCCCCTCGTTGGAAGGTCCTCCCTAATGGGAGGAGTGGCCTTTCCTATTTTTTCTGTATTCACAGGACTTCTCTCCCAAGTGAGTTTTTTGATGTGTGTCAAGGTGTGACTTGACTCGGAACAACTTCCCACATTCACGGCACTCATGATGCTTCTCTTTATGAGTCCTCTGGTGTCTGATGAGGCCAGGCTTCCAGGGAAAGCCTTTCCCACACTCACTACACACAAAGGGGTTTTCCCCCGTGTGGGTTCGCTGGTGGATGACAAGTGGGGACTTACGACTGAAGGACTTCTGACAATCGCTGCACTCGTACGGTTTCTCTCCCGTGTGAGTTCTCTGATGCGCAACCAGCTGTGACTTCTGTGTGAAGACTTTCCCACAGTCGCTGCATCCGTAGGGTTTCTCGCCTGTGTGCGTCCTCTGGTGGATGCTGAGCAGTGACTTTGTACTGAAGGCTTTCCGACACTGGCTGCACTCGTACGGTTTCTCTCCTGTGTGAGTTCTCTGGTGCGCAACCAGCTGTGATTTCTGTGTGAAGACTTTCCCACAGTCGCCACATCCGTAGGGTTTCTCTCCCGTGTGCGTCCTCTGGTGGATGCTGAGTTGTGACTTTGTTCTGAAGGCTTTCGGGCACTGACTGCACCCATGAGGTTTCTCTCCCGTGTGCGTCCTCTGGTGGAGAATGAGTTCCGACTGCCGCATGAAGGCTTTCTGGCATTGACTGCATTCGTATGGCTTCTCTCCGCTGTGGATTCTCTGATGGAAAATGAGCTCTGACTTCCGGGTGAAGGCTTTCAGGCATTCTGTACAAGGGAAGGGTTTTTCCCCGGTGTGAGTCCTCTGGTGCTCGATGAGCTGTGACTTGCGGATGAAGGCTTTCTGACAGTGGCTGCATTCATTCAGTTTCTCTCCAGTATGCGTCCTCTGGTGCAAAGTAAGGTTGAATTTCAGAGAGAAAGCTTTTCCGCATTCAGTGCACCTGTACGGCTTCTCGCCTGTGTGAGTTTTCCCGTGTTTTATGAGGTTCCCCTTGCTGATGAAGGACTTTTGACATTTGTTGCATTCGTAGGGTTTCTCTCGCGTGTGAATCCTCCGATGTAAAATCAGACTGGACTTGTGGGGAAAAGTCTTCCCACACTCACTACATTCATAGGGCTTCTCTCCTGAATGCCGCCTCTGGTGGATAGTCAGTTGAGACTTGCTACAAAAGGCTTTCTGACACTCGCGGCACTCGTAAGGTTTCTCGCCTGTGTGCGTTCTCTGGTGTAAAATGAGGTCTGCCTTCCGGATGAAAGCTTTGGGACACTCGGTGCATTCGTAGGTCTTCTCTCCCGTGTGTGTTCTCTGATGGACAATGAGCTGCGATTTCTGAGAGAAAAGTCTCCCACAGTCATTGCAGCCGTACGGTTTCTCTCCAGTGTGAGTTCTCTGATGGAGAACGAGGTGGCTCTTCCAGACGAAAGTTTTCCTGCATTCGACACAGCGATAGGGCTTCTCTCTGGTGTGAATTCTCTGGTGCAGATGGAGACGTGACCCACAGGCAAAGGATCTCTGGCATTCAGTGCATTTGTAGCATTTCTTTCCTCTATGGTTTCTACTGAGACCTGGCTTCTTATGGACAGCTCTCCCACAGTGATTGTCTTCATAGCTGTTAGTCCCACAGTGAACATTTTCATGCACAGCATGAAGTAACAATTTCTCAGGTGCATTTAACTCGTCCACTTTCTTACTTACATGATTTATGCTCTGGAATAGGAAATTGAAGTTATGTTTGAACACTTTCCTATATGAATCAAATCCATCTTTCCCCAGGTGAAATATTTTCTCAACAATGTCAGTTTTCTGGTTCCTCGCCACAGGGTCGGGCTTGTCAGAGTTTTCCTGGCGCTGGTCTGTGTCGTCATTCGCTTGCCAGGCTTCTTCTAGAAAGGAGACCAATACATCTTAACATGAAGGGCTGCTCTCTCACAACAGGGGTGAAGGGAAGAAATTGTATTCTGGGTAAAACACACAAGTCAAAGGACTGAGTAGAAGGAGAGGACAGACAGGATGCAGAGCGTCATGAAAGCCATGCAGAGCCTGGACAAGGGCATGCTGACCGTGTGAAAGCACGAGTCAGCCTGCAGGTAAGGTGTTGAGTGGAAGAAGGGGCAGCATCAGTGTTGGTCAAGTAAAAGTAAACAAGCTGCGAGACAGCGAGAGACTAACCGAGAAAGTAAGACCCTGATCCTGATCCCAGAGATCAGATGCAGAAAGTAAAGGCTTACGGCAGAGGTGGGGAATGTCTGGCCCGTGGGCCATGTAAGGCCCGTGAACTCATTGTCTGGCCCTAACAAGACAACCGCAGCTCCAGCCATCACATGGTTGTTGTTGTTGTTGTTGTTGTTGTTGTTGTTGCTAAGTGCCATCGAGTCGGTTCTGACTCATAGCGTCCCTGTATAGGGCTTCTGAGGAGAGAATGGTGAGTGTGAACCATCGACCGTGCAGTTCAAAGTGATCCTGCGGTCAAGTGTCCCTCCTACAGTGCCATACCGGGACTCCAGCCGTCACTTGAGGGGTGAACTCATTAAATGTTGGACCAAATACAGTAGGCTAATTTTTAAGTTAGTAATTTCATATGGCCCGTGAATAATGTTATAAATTTTGGAAAGAAGAAATAAAGCTCCCCACACCTGGCATAAGGGGTGTGGTGGTGGTTGGTGGTTATGTGCCGTGGAGTCGGTTCCGACTCATACCGACCCTGTACAGGGTTTCTGAGGCTGTAAATCCTTACAGGAGCAGAAAGCCTCATGTTTCTACCACGAAACAGCTGGTAGTTTCGAACTGCTGATCTTGCGGTTCATAGCCCAATTCGTAACCACTACGCTACCAGAGTATATCTCTTTCTAAATATCAAGCAAGAGTCCTAATGTGAACAAGGTGCTAAGTGCAAACACCCTGAAAAGCAAATCTAAGAAATGCATGGCAACTGTTTAGAGTCAACTGGATTTTTAAGTAAAATTCGAGAAATAACATATCAGGAATTCTAGACCTTGTCACGCTCACCCGGTTTTTACTCACCTAGACTGCCCTGTTGATCTCACCCTTGACACTCCATGAGTGTCCTGGTTCCACCCGAAAGCTTGCTAATGGCTACGTGAGTAACCCGAAGACTCAGAGCTGGTGGTTAGAGTCTGGAGAACTGAGACCAGTCTTGTTATAGACTTCCCATCGCAGCAAAGTGAAGAACCTTCATGTGGGAGGTGAGGGCACGATCCTCTACATTCAGAAAGAATCTACCATTCAAGAAGCCCAAGTGTAGAATCTTCCGAAGACCTACATGTTGGAGCTCTTAATAAAGAAACGGCATTAGACTGGCGGTCGGCCTTACCCAGTGATGCCAGGTTGCTGTAATTTTCCAACATCACATCGCAATACAGGTCCTTCTGAGCAGTGCCAAGTAGCTGCCACTCCTCCGAGGTGAAGTTCACAGCCACGTCCTTAAACAATAACGTTACCTGAAACGGCACATTCCTGTTTAATTTAAAGGACATTTCATTCAATGCTGTGGAAAGCATGCATGTGAACTTATCTTCATGTTCACAGTACAGTCTACATACAATCTTAAGAGAAGCTAGTTTATGGAAGGAACAGAAAGCTCATCTAAACAGCCTGCCATTAGAAATCAGTGTTATTTAATACATTAACAGGAAAAAAAAAAAAAAAAAAGATGAAAATCACATACTCATGAAACTGGACACATAAAAAGCAGGTAACATGTTATGTTATACTGCTGTTAAATACCACTGAATGGTACATTAAGATTTGTGCATTTAAAGTTAGAGAATTTTGCACTCAAGTAAATTATGAACAAATTGTTGGTGTTAAGTGCAGTTGAGTCAATTCTGACCATAGCAACCCTGTATAGAGTTTCTGAGGAGCAGCTGGTGACCTTGAACCGCCGACCTTGCAATTCAAACAGCTTTGCAGTCTGGTGCATTAACCCACAGTGCCACACCCGGACTCCTATGAACATAGTCAATGCGAATTAATGACATGCAGGCTGAAGTATTTGAGGGAGATGAAATGATGTTTGCAAATTACTTTGAGACGCATTGAACTAAAATGAAAAAGTAAATGGCTACACGGAGAGGCGTGTGACAAGCAATTGCATTAAACTATCAACTGGATGATCCAGTCAGTGAGCACACGAGCCGTCACTGTAAAACTCTTTCCAGTTTTCTGTACATCGAAAATATTTGCTAATGAAA